TATGAACACCTCAGATTTGCATTATTTTATTGAATTTTCTGAGGTGAAACTCTTAGACACCTTTCCCTAAGATGGAAACATCTCTAAGAGAAGGGAATCAACTCCCTTTCCTGCTGGTCACACTTGAGGTAAGAATTATAGATGGGTAGAATGAAGGATTTCACAGTTGTTTTATTCAGACACCTTGCTAGCCCACATAATACTTTTAAGAACATCTGCAGTTCTACTGAACTAGAGAATAACGTTCTACACATGCAGATCTCAGGCCCTGTGGGTTTGGGTTTTAACTTCGTTTTATTTAGGCAACTGAAACAAGTGCAGCTCTGTGAATAAGCAGGAACAAATTACAGCAAAAGGGTTAGAAGCAACACAGTGGAGAACAGCTGAACTGACAGTGCACAGAGCTGGTCTCTAGCTGCTCCATTTTACAGAGATGATAGTAAAGAAAAACAGAGACAGGAAGAAGTGGCTGTAGAGCAGAACCTTCTCCAGAACCGGCAGGAACGGGTCCTGCTCCTGTGGCTGCCAGTGGTGCTTGGCTGTCTGTCCTTGTCCCTGGCTCTTCTTGGGAGGGTTCAGTAGGTGGGAGCCTTCCTTGGCCAGGTGTGCCACGGGCTGGTTGCTCAGGGCTCTCCTGGCCAGCTCAGCACGCACATCTGCAGGGAGCAAACAGCACTGTCAGTACAGTGAGGCTGGTGAGGAGCCATCACGGCTGGTAGCACCTGGGGCACTGCTTGCTCTGAGGGAACCCCCCCTGGCCCAAACCAATCTACAGCAAAATGCACCAAAGCTACTTCTGAAAGAAGTTCTGAGTTGCTTTACCTTGCTGGAAACCTCTGAGAGCCTTGCCTAAGTGTCGGGATTTGCGCTGCTGGTACAACAGGAAGAAGGTGTCTAACACAGCCATGATCATGAGCAGGAAGGTGCCCAGGAAGAACACCACTGCAGAACAAGAGGAAAACAAAGCTCTGCGTAATTGGCATAATTTTCTTGAATGTAATCCTGTCTGCTTCGGTTGCCTGCTGGGGAGCAGGGAAAATCTAGCTCCAGCAAGCTTTTAAAGCTTAGCTGTCTGTGACTTCAGTGTTCCATAAACACCCAAAGACCTTCCTTAGGGCTGGTACCTGTGTGAAAATCAGGTGTTATTCGATAAAGGTGAGTACCTATTATAGGTGGTTTGTTGGAGGAAGTTGGGAGGCTGTTGTTGAGGATCACAGCTAACATGGAGCTGCCGAGGATGATGGCGATCTGGAAGTTGATTTTCTCCTCGAGAGAGCTGGGACCAAACAGCACAGCCATGTCCAGCAGGTACAGGGCACAGGTTGGGAGGATCAGGTTCAGAATGTACAGAGTGGGTCGTCTCTCCATGGAAATCTGTTAAAGAAGTTGGGCAAAATGTAGGGGAGCAGGAGATGACTTACTGTATTAGCTGAAAGCTTTTTCCCTGATGTAAAAAAATTGCCTTGCTTTATACTTTTTGGTGGCAAATCAGTGCAATATAGGGCAAAAGTGCTGCCATACCTTGTAGGTGATGACAGAAAATTCTTTATCATCCAGAAGTTCTATGTATTCAATGATGCTCAGGTTGGTGAACTTCCACTCTCCATCAGTTAGGAAGAAGCTCTGGCTGGCATTCATCATCTCAGCTGGTGTCCGTCTCGTCTTCATGACAAGGTCTGTTACTGCTTGGGCAGGAGGAAGAGGAGAAGTTGCAGATTTGAGGTATTTACTAGAGGGCAATTATTTTCTCTCCCACCCAGCCAAGAGTGTGTGCAGGTGGGGAAGGGCAATGTTTCTTGCACTGCTGAGGCTTCTTTGCCCATCAGGGAGAATTTAAAAATTACTGTGGTAAAGAGCCTTGGATGGACCTCTGGAAATGTGGATCAGAGGGAAAATACCTGGTGAATTAGGACTGTTGCCCTTTGTGGATGCGACTTAGAGGGTTATGTGTCACTTCTGCTTATATTTCAGCCCTTCTTGGGATGAAATGCAGTTTGGATCCCTGAAACTCCTTTTAATGGTTGGACTTGACGATCTTAGAGGTCTTTTCCAGCCATAACAGTTCTGTGATTCTGTGATAAATTTCCTCTCATTTTCATGGCTTTCAGGTATGTTTAAAAATCAGACTTGGAAAAAAGTATGTGAACAAGTAGCCTTGTTGCAGGAAGCCTCCTGATCTCTTGGCTTGTCGAGACCAATCCTAGGAGGGACTTGCCACAAAACATCCAGATACTTCCAGAGATGTAGCTGGGAAATGTGCCAAGGCAGAATGGCAGCATTTTAGCTCATTTTCCCTGGTCTTACATGACCTCAACCCTCCTAATCCAGTGTAAGAGTGTGGTACTGCTCAGGGAACCCAAGGGTTACCAGGGTCCATCTCATCTACTCCTCCTTTCGCAAACTCAGCCCAGAGGAGGTAGAACTCAGCCTGCAGCTGTACCTGGGTAGAGAAATGAAGCTATGCTCAAGTTGCACGACTGAGTGTCAAAGGGGAACTTGAGGATCATCAAGCTGCAAGTTAAGGTGACCTGGAAGGGCCTGGTGGAGTTGAAGCTGCCGTTGTGCATGAGGACCATGTAATCCAGGTCTGGGTTTTGTCCACTCACTCTGGAGGAAACACAAGTGGAGAGTAGCTGAGCTGAGACACTGCCCTGTGCCTCAGTCCCACAAAACCCTGGCTGTGAACACCCTGTCTGGGGGGCTCTGCACCATCACTCAGCCATGGGATGCAGCAGTGAGGACAGGAAACTTGAGGCTTGCAGAAGGGCTGGTGAGTGCCCCTGGACTGAGGTTTACTGTCGCTGTGCACCTCCGAAGGGAATTCCTGCCTCTCTGCCCTCTGCTTCCAGTCTCACTGCTGGCTCTGCCTCCCCCTTATTCCCCCCCTAAAGAGCTGGTGGCAGTGCCCATCCCTCTGTCAGACCCTCAGTGCTCTGCTCTGTGTCCCCCACACTGCTAAGGGTTGTTTAATTCTACAGCATTGCTGGTTTCTGCTGCTTCCTCAGCTTTAACTGCAGCCCAGATGGGGCATTTCTGGAGATGTTAAAGCGTTACAGAGCCACAAAGTTCTTTTTATAAACTGTGGTCACCATGAGTCTAAATTACAAGGTTCTTGGTTACAGAAAGTTCATGGGAACAACTTTTGGTTGTTTACCCCATTTCCTACAACAATACTAACAGTTTGCATCCATTGGATTTCTCTTAAGCCAGTGGTTAAAAACGAGAATGGAACCTACCTCTCCAAGATGAAGATTGGAGGAGACCAATACGTATCCATGGGCAGAACGATTTCAGAAATGTTACAGAAATCCTGTGGGTTCCAGGTGGCAAAAGTGTTTTCCCACTCCTGGGGGAAGAAGTTGCAGGAGAGAAATGAGTGCCAAGCTTGGCACCAGCTATCGTGCCTGACATCACAGGAGAGAAACGCTCCTGAGGGACCTACCAGGTTCAGGACGAAGTAAAAACTGACTGTCTGGAGCTTTTCCACCTGAAGAAACAAGGGGGAAAGATTTAGCTGAGTTTCTCAGGTGTAGCCAATGCAGAGCCCAGGAGCTCTTCCCTGTTTCTCCAGCAGTGGACAGCACAGATTGCAGGAACTCAGCTTGGGAGGAGAGCTCACAGCTCTTGGTCCTTCGGCTGAAGAGTGGGAGCAAACAGATTGTTCTTAACAGCTCAGGCACTCTGCAGGGTGTTTTTGGAGCTTGCTACCAAGGAGGCTGCTTGTCTGGATGTGCCTCTCAAAGAGTTTCCTGGAAGTAGGAGGCAGAAATACAACCAAAAATTTCTTTCAAACAGCAGAAAGCTAAAGCAGTGGAAGGGGCTGACTCTCACCCCCATGGCCTTGCTGGCAGAAGACTCAAACCCCAATCCAGCAATCACCCAGTTTGCTGTTATAAAGACTCATTTTGGGTCCTTACCACGGAGAGAATTGCCACCAGCATAAAATCCATCTTCACTTCCACAGGTGCCTTCAGGCTTGTCTTGGGCAGTATGTAAGTGTGCAGCTTGTCGTGAGAGGAGATGTTCAGGTAGTCAACAATGTCATAGTAGGTGCAGATGTACTTTGGAGCAGCCCCTGCTAGAAAGAGAATTCCACTTGAAACACAAAAGGATCAGGCAAGATCTCAACTGTGAGAGAGATGCACCAAAAGGGAAAGGGTTTGGAGCTGAGGATGTGAAAAACATCATTAACATACAGAAATATTTCCTCACCTAGATGAAAACAGAATTCCTCAAGGCTTTTTTTATCCCTCTTGCCCTTACCTGTTCCAAGGGAAAAGGTGAGGATGGCTACAAAAACTCTCTGCATTGTCTCCTGCTTCCAAAGAAGGAGGCAAATGGTACTGAGTGTCTTATGAACAGGTCTAGGACACGTAATTTGTTGTGTGGAAGTTGATTTGATACTTATTAATGAGGAATGGATTTTTGTAAACAGAAGCTAAACACTTTATGTATTGGAAGGAATAATTTGCTAATGGTTTGATGCACTCAGCTGGCTCTTGGGAACAGCTTTTAGTTGTGGTAAAGGAAAAATAAGGTCATTAAAAGAAAATCCAACAATTTGAGGGCAAGGAAAAGAAAGGGCTCAAACCCATAGAGAAAAGGCAAGGAGCCAGAGCTACTCAGAGGCAAATTTTGTCTCCTTTACAGGACTGAGAGTCTGCTGCAAACCCAGTGAAATGGAACAGGAATTCGTGCTTGTGTGACATGAGGGGTGCTGGGGAGGTGGAGGAGAGGATGCTCTCCTTCCAGCCTGGTGCTGCTCCACAGCAGCCCACACCATATGCTCATTTCCCAAAGCACTGAGCCCACAGAGCTGTTCCTGCCTCCTTGCTGATCTCCCGTGTTTCTGGCATTCTTCTCCCAAATCTTCACAGTCAAGACAAAAGGCTCAGAGACTTTTTGTTTTTCTCTCTGTCTGCCTTTCCCTCAGCCACTCTCCTCTCCCTCTCTGCCTTTTTTTTTCTGCTGCCATTCCAGCAGTGCCTCCAGGTACTCCAAGTGGGGAAACAGCTCCAATTCTTGCAGGCTTGGTAAATCCCATCCCACTGGGTTGTCATGGATCTCACCCTACTGCTGCAGCCTCTGATTATGTCAGAGAGAGGGGTGGGAAACGTGAGGGCCATAAGACAGGGTTTGAGCACAAGGACTCAATCCCTGTGGGTCCCTTCCAACCCGTGATTCTGTGGTGCTATTACCAGCCCCAGCACAGCAATGGCAGATAGCAAATCCCATACTTGACTTCCCCTCAGCAGCAGATTTTCCCGTGGCAGTGGATGGTCCTTCCCTGGCCACGTGCCCCATGGCTCCTGTGTCCTCCTGTGGACTTCTATGTCCCCCATGGACCCCCCTGTGTCCCCCCTGGCCCTCTGTGACCCTCCATGGCCCCCTGTTGAGACTGGACGTGGCACTTAGTGTCATGGTCTAGTAAGGACAGTAGGGTTGGACTCGATCTTTGAGGTCTCTTCCAACCAGGTTGATTCTATACTTCTGTCTCCCCATGTCCTCCTATGGATCCCCATGTTCTCCTAATGGATCCCCATGTCCCTCTATGTCTCCCCATGTCCCCTGATTGATCCTCATGTCCCCCTATGTCTCCCTATGTTCTCCTATGGATCCCCATGTCTCCTGATGGATCCCCATGTCCCCCTATGTCTCCCCATGTTCTCCTATGGATCCCCATGGCCCCCTATGTCTCCCTGTGTCCTCCTAAGGACCCCCATGTCCTACATGAACCCCTTGTATCCCCATGGATCACCGTGTCTCCCCATGGACCCCATCTACCCCTATGTTCCCTTATGGACCCCCATGGCCACCCATATCCCCCATGGATCCCATGTCTCTCCATGACTGCCCTGACCCCCATGTCCTCCCGTGTCCCTCTATGACCCCCATGTCCCCCCA